AACGAGGGCACGGAAGTGGCTATGTTAATGTGAGAGATATTATAACACTGTGTAACAAAAAAAATTGTTCCTGGGTAGAATGTGTTATTTTCTAATTGTTCATGCCTCAAAAGTATAGATAATGGCTATTTATTCCCCAGAAATTTTTCTTTTGTGAGCAGGACTTTAATGTTTTGAAATGTACCGATTTTCAATGAGAAAACGCGGTGTGCATTTGTGTTAGTTCTTCACAATAAAGTCCCGGTCACAAAAGCAAAGTTTGTGGGGAATAATAACAGCCGTTTTCTATACTTTTGAGGCATAAGCAATTATAAAATCACACTTACTACCCAGGAACAAAACTCGTGTCACATCGTGTCATCGGTGCACGGTGCGCTTTGCGTGTTTTCCCACAAGACGATGTCTCCTTACTCATACTCTTTGGTTCTTTCGGTAAAGTCACGTAGTTAGAAATAAAATAAAAATTAAACAAATCACGACGTTTCGATTGCAACACAATCACGATGTATCATCGATGCCTGCTCGCGGCTGGTGCTTCTGGCCGGGCGAGTTGACCATCTCAGCACATTGCCCAGACAGCCCTGGGACAGACTCGAACGGTGGGCACGCCGACCGTGCGAATCCAGTCCGGGACGATCTCCCGGCGTGCCACTTGAAACAATGGGGGGGGGGGGGGGGGCTCGCTTCTTAAAGCCTCCGTCCACCCTCTCACCCACCCCCCACCCACCTCCGTCTCTATCCACCCAGCAAGTAGGATACGCAGTCAGGGGTTCACCAGACCCCCATGTGGTAGTGGTGGTGGTGGTAGCGGTGGTGGTGGTAGTGGTAGCGGTGGTGGTGGTGGTGGTGGGGGGGGTAAATTGTGGGGTAACGCGACCTCATCCAAGACGCCCCGGTCACCGTTGGGAGGAAAGCGCAGCGAGACGGAAACTTCCACAGCGAAGTGGCTCGAGTGGTGACGACTCTCTGGGTGACTCTCTGGGTGACGACTCTCTGGGTGATCGTGGTTCACGTTGTCGCTCCACTGCTGGATGAGCAGCGTGTGCCCGTGCTAACTTCTTCCAAGCCGGTCAAAGCGTTGTTCACAATGCGTCGTTACGTCGTCGCATTATTCGTACTGTAGGATGATGATGATGATGGTTGTTGTTGCTGTTCTTTTGGCTTCAGTCGTTGTTGCTCTGTAACGTGAAGCAAGAGGCAGCCCCTATCACACTCGTCACGTGCTCGTCAAGCAAAACATAAAATGCCAAAACGATGTGTACTCAGATGGATATTTCTCACCTCGTCCCCCCTCCCCCACTCTACTCAGCTATATAAACTATTGTCAAAACCATCTCTTTGACATAACTCAGCAACTGTTTTTGCTGTGGTTGTCCACACCTGATGACGGACGCTTGTGTTGCGCCCGAAACGTCGTGATTTAATTAACTTGATTTCACTTTTTATTTTTTTATTATTATTTTCACCTACGTGACTTTACTGAAAGAACTAAAAATTGTATGGATCCTTGCAGTCACGAAAACTTCAAATCTAGAATGGATCTTTTTATTTATAGATATAGTAGTCTATAATTTAACTAAATATGTCGGCGAAAGAAAGGCATTGACAGGAGTACGCATTGAACAATTGGGGCGATTTTAAATGAACGTTGCTCATGTTTTCTGTATTCGCTAGTTATCTATTGTTCTTATTGTTGTTGTTAAACGTCTTCCCAACGTCTTCTTCCGCCATTTCAACCCAACGCAATCTTCATTTAGTTCCACGGAAGAAGAAGAAAACGTGATGCGCGAGAGAGACAAACACCCGTGCGCAAAAGACAAAGGTCCACCCCCCTGTAGCCTTGAACACATTGTTGGGGCAAGTGCTGAAGGCCGACGGAACGAGCGGGTTGGAAACACCGCGCCCGGCCGCCTTTGTCTCACCCGGTGCTGGCTGTGTTATCGCGCTCGCTGCAGCAGGGACTCGTTTGAGGTCTCCGTCGACCCAGGGACGGGATGGAATCTGCTCAAAATTAGTTCGCCGCTGTTATTGGTCGTGAGCGGGGATCGAACTTGGCGTGGGAAGTGGGGATGTGAGTCGGGCGGTGTGTGGAGGGGTGGGCGAGGGATGCGGAGAGGCAGCAGTCGCTGTAGATGTCGGTCACGTGGAGGTGATGAGGTCCTGCAGACTTCACAGAAGCTGGCAGTGAGCAAGTGGATTCCTGAATCCGTCTGTGCGGAACGTCGAGCGCATTCGACCCCCATCACGCGGGCTTTTGTGATGCCACAGCGGCGAAGCCGCTCTGCCGGCGCCGCACCCGCGATGCCCACACGACGGAGCGGCCTGGCCGACGCTGCTCGTCCCTCACCACCCCCCACATGAACACACGCACACACCCCCACCTGGCCTACAGGTTTTCACCCAGGAGCCCTCCTCGTGGAGAACCTTCTCCACGGTTTCCTGGGGCCAGGGAATTGGCCGAGGCTTCCCCGAGGTTAAATGGCGCCGTGAATTAACGTGAAATTACATGGTCACGACGAGGCTACTCAGCCACCGCGGTTAAGATGCACACTACACATACGGGTTAGCAGGCAGGTAGGGGGCGGAGCCACGAACGGCGGGAAACCAGGGTAAGCGTCTGATTGGCAAGACAAATGTGCCTGTGCACGGCTGCCCAAGCAGCAGCCCAGCGGCAGTCCCTTTGATACGGAAACCGGGACGCGGACGGCGGTGAGAGCATCGATGCGAAAGCTGGGACCCGGCAGGCAGGCAATCTGATTGGCCGGGAAGGCCATCGTATCAGCGTCAGGTTTTCTTTGATGTAGAGGACAATAAAAGGCGAGGGTCGTGAGAGGTAGGCAGTTCGTGTCCAGCACAAGTCAGCGATCGGTCGACTCTACAGCCACTCGAACGTCCGTGTGACGAGTCGCAGTGCAGCGAGGACTGGCCCGCAGGAGCTCCGTACGAGTCGAACTGTGAGTACGAGAGAGAGAGGTAAAGAACAGCGTGCAAATTCCTAGAGAGAGTAAGTCTAAATAGGCGGGATAGATTGGGTTTAGACCGTCGTGGAACAGGTTAGTTGCCCTACTGATTTCAGCTTCGGGCTCCGGGATATTCAGTATCAGGCACGCCGGGAATAAACCATTTGTAATCAATAAACAGTTTTGTGTGGTTTCTGCGAGTGTGGGGAGAGTGTGTGGTGGCGTGAGTATGCTCGTCGTAACGTGGAGATTGGTGCGTGTATAACTATATCGGGGTAAGAGTCCTACGCGCGCATCCAGTCGAGTGCCGCGACCGTGGTGCCCGAGTCTGGTGCGCGAATCCTGTCGCTAGTTACTCATCATTGTGCGGAGGAGCCGGAAGACGATTAACGTATTTCTTTAATTCCCCAGCATACAGCAACGCTCGTTCTTAAACCAATCCAGAATACCCGCCCCACAGCCCTTTAAATAATCGCCATTACCCAACCTCGGCGGCCACGCGTGTGCGAGTGACGTCACTGCCGTTTGACACCTGACCCCCCGTTCCGCGCGTGCGATTGGTGCGCGTGGTTGTGAGAGCGGAGACGTCGCGTTTGAGTGGCTGCGCCTACACGAGTGTGGGCCGTGGCGTGCAGGGAGTCTCCTACTAACGTTTGTAGGAGTGTGAGTGAGGAGTGAAGGATTCATTCCAGGCAGCCGAGCACCATCCCCGAGTCATGCCCCACAGACAGGACTCGGAGACGGTGGGGTCCGCGGACTCGAGAGGCCGCGGCGCGAGGAGAGGAGCCGGAGAGCGGCAGCCCTCCCCCTGTGAACGAGGAGTCGGGCAGCAGCTGCTCTCACACGAGTGAGGAGTCAGGAGGCAACAGCCCCCCCCCCCCCCCCACGAGATCAACCCTCTGCCAGTGGAGGACCCGGGGCGCCAGCAGCCTCAACAAGTTGGTGTCGGAAGTGGTACGAACCCTCACATCCCCACGGGAGAGAGGCGCGTTACTCCACGCGATAATAATGTATGTGTTCACCGGCCAGGGGACTCCATCATGGAAAACATTTGCCCGCAACATTACAGGGGCTAAACAGCTTAATGGTTGGACAGACACGCAGGCGTTACAGTATCTTACGATGCATCTGGATGGGCGGTCCGCTGACTTTGTGGAAGCTCTACCCGCGAGCACACAAACCCATGAATGAATGCGCCGACTCGACCTACGCTTCGGCATGCGTAATGAGAGACAGGCAAAGACGCCCTTAGATGCGCGCCGCCGCCAACCCGGCGAGGACTTCCGCGATTATGCCGAGGACGTGTGATCGCTAACACAGATCACCCGCCCAGGGTTCGTGACAGAGGTAATTGACGAGCTAGCCGCCGACAAGATCCACCGGTATTTAGCTCGCACCACGTGGTGGCAGCCCAAAGTGGGCAGCGCACGCCTTCCCTTTGTCACCCTGGTCGAGCGAGCGCTTGAGTGCGAGGAACTCTCCAGTGAGCGCACGCAACTCCGAGGGTCAAGACGGGAGTGCGCCATCGCGAGCCTGCTCCCAGAAGAGGAAGAGGAGGAGCTCGCCAGAATGATAAGGGGATGGGCAAGGGAGTGCCCGGGACGCCGAGAGACTACCCTGGGGTGGGTAGCCGGGATACAGTCCGGCATAGGGGACATAGCAGGCCGGATAACCCAAGTTGATGACAAGGTGACCCAAGTACGGGCGCATATGACCACGCTGCAGACTACGGTAGAGACAGTCCAGGCTGAGGTAGGGGGGTTAACTGGACGGGTGGCCCGACTAGAGGCAGAGTCTAGGCAGCGGCATACTGGGGAGAGAGGGAATGGGCAGGGGGCCCCCTATGGAGCTGCCACCCTACCTATGTGACCGTTGAGGGCATCTCGTGAGAGACTGTCCTCAGATCGCCCGTGCTAGACATGCACCAGGGTTAAACTCCAACGCCCCCTAGAGAGTGGACCAACTAGGGGTGCAATCGACGTGGTCCCGACACAAATAGACGATAATGAGAATAATGGTGAGCGAGTGACCTCTACACAGATCCCAGCAACAACGCGCAAGAGAGTGGTGACTCCTGGCGACTGGCTGCGGGAGCTGGTGGCGGGGATCCTGTTGGACACCGGGGGCGGTGGCCTCGCTCGTGAGCGCAGCGCACTGCAGCGTGATCGGGGTCGACGTGAGCCGCCTACAGGCCCCCGACCGCGCGCTGCACACGGCGAGCGGGGCCGGGATGGGAATACTGGGGAGGGTCACCCTGGAGGTCCGCATAGGATGCCAGGTGTGCACCCAGGAGTTCTATGTCTCGAGTGTGTTGTGCCATGAGTGTATTGCAGGTACCGACCTCCTGGAAAAGTTGGGGCTCAATGTGCAGCCCCGCCAGCGATGCGCCACCATGGAGGGCAGCGGGGAGCGGATTCCATTCCTGGGACGAGAGCCGATTCGCCCCCTCTTCACACTCGTGGCCGCCACCCTGGTGACGGCCGTCACAATCGGGCCACTCGCCGAGATGCTGGTGCCAGTGGCAACACCCTCCACCGACCCCGCGCACCGGCCGTCGGGCGAGGTAATGCTAACTCCTCACCCGGAGCTGGCGGAACGGTATGGGATTGTAGGGTCAGCCACACTTATAAACGCAGATGGGGGCCGATTGTTTATACGGGTATTTAACCCCCACAGTACCCCGGCAATGCTGCGATGGTGCACCACAGTAGCCACCATAGACCCCATGCAAGTGTGCCACTCTAACGACTCGGTGTTTGCACTCTGGGCTGAGGACCCCGGTCGCCCCGAGGACAACCAGGACCTGGCCTGACGAGTCGGCTCGACTCCCCAAGCCGAGGTCGTCCCACCTGCTTGATGCGTTACATATACCTTGGGCAGATTTACCTAAGGGGGAGGCCGATCAGCTGCGCGGCTTAGTGCGGGAGTACGCTGACGTGTTCAGTGAACACAACTCAGATGTGGGTCGGACGGACCTCATTAAGCACCAAATTGACACCGGTGCAGCCCGACCCATCAAACTCCCTGGAGTACCGAGTGGGCGCACCCGAACAGGCCAAGATCAAAGAGGCGGTCGGGGACATGTTCCGCGGTAACATAATCCAGCCCTCAGCGAGCCCCTGGTCAGCCCCGGTGGTACTAGTGACAAAAAAGATGGGTCAACTCGGTTTTGCGTTGATTACCGAAAATTTAACGCAGTCACCCTCGGCGACGCCTTCCCCATACCCCGCATCGACGACACCTTTGACAGCCTCGCCGGGGCGCGGTATTTTTCCACCCTCGATCTCGCGTCCGGGTACTGGCAGGTGGAGATGGCAGAGGAGGATCGGCCAAAAACCGCATTTACCACCCCAATAGGACTATTCAAGTTTCGAGTACTCCAGTTCGGACTCACCAACGCACCCGCGACATTCCAGCGGTTGATGGAGTTGGTGATGCGGGACTTGCAGAGGGAACAGTGCCTCATTTACCTGGACGACGTGATAGTGTTCAGTAGATCTCTGTCTGAGCACTGGTCCAGGTTACGAGAGGTGTTCCAGCGGCTGCGAGCGACCCATCTCAAGCTCAAGCCGCGTAAGTGTTACATTGCGAAGCGCGAGGTGGGGTACCTCGGACACCGCGTCAGCGAGGCAGGGGTGCGCACCGATCTGGATAAGGTACGCGCCGTAGTAGATTGGCCAAGGAACCTGACGGAGATCATATCATTTTTGGGGCTCGCTACCTATTATCGTCGATTTGTAAAGGGATTCAGCGACATTTCACGCCCCCTCACCCAACTCACTTCCCCTAAGAACCCCTATCAGTGGACGGAGGCCTGCCAGACGGCCTCCACCACCCTCAATGACCACCTCACCCACACCCCCACCCTGGCTTTCCCCGATTTCGCCACCGATTTTATTTTGGACACCGACGCCTGCAGCGGTGGGCTGGGCGCGGTGTTGTCACAGGTGCAGGACGGGACGGAACGGGTCATCGCGTACGCCAGCTGGACCCTGAGCGGGTCCGAACTGAACTATTGCGTGACCCGTCAGGACCTGTACGCCGTGATTTTCGCGTGTAAGCAGTTCCGGCCGCATTTGTACGGCAGGAAGTGTCGCGTGGGGACTGACCATTATGCCCTGCAGTTTCTCCTCACATTCAAGGAACCGCGGGGGCAGATGGCCCGGTGGCTGGCGCAGCTGCAGGAGTACAACCTGCACATCGAGTACTGGGCTGGGTGAACGCACGCAAACGCGGACGCCTGCCTTGTCGAGGCGACCCGCGGTGCGTGCCGAGATGAGGGCGGAGGAGGCCTGCCCGTGCTTTCTCTGGTTAGCTGCGGGGGTATTCCTCCAGCACGGCGCCAAAAAACTCCCGACGTGAAACTGGGCCACACCCCCCCCCCCCCCCCCCCCCACAATTGAGGCACGACCCCCCTGATCACGACAAGGCCTGGGACTCGGCAATACTTTTTTCCCCCCGGGGTCTTAGGAAGAAGAAAGCAAGAGACGCATCTTCTCGTTGAGTCCGCTGCGGTGGCCTTGAGGGCCGCGTGCTTGACGCTCGATAGGCAGCTGGCTTGAATTAGAAGTTTTGGCAATTCCCTAGGCTGGTTGCTGTGCGTGCAGTGTGCGTGAGGAGGGCTGTGTGTCTGTTTGTGTGTCTCTGTGGGCCTCCCCTAGATCGACTCAGCCTCAAATGAGTACCTGGTTGCGGTGTGTAAACATCGTCACTGGAGAGACAAAGGCGGCCGGGCGTGGTGCTGGCCACCCACCTCCTCGTGTGCCGTTTTGGCCTTCATAGGTGCACTTGCCCCGACGATCTGTTCAGGCTATACGGGGGATATTTGTCTGTGTGGGTGGGGAGCAGTGGTGTAGCGGTTAGCCCGCTGCGCTACGAACCCGGCGACCCGAGTTCGATTCACCGCTCACGACCAATAAACGGTGGCGATGATTTCAACCGGTCCTGGGCCTCCCCTAGGTCGAATCAGCCTCAAATGAGTAGCTGGTTGCGGTGTGTAAACATCACCACTGGGAGACAAAGGCGGCCGGGCGTGGTGCTGGCCACCCGCCCCCTCGTGTGCCACAGTCCCGGCCTTCATAGGCGCTGCTGCTCGCTACTAACAGCACTTGCCCCGACAGACTGTCACAGGCTACACGGGGGATTTTTCGATTTAAAGCTTTCGTGACTGCAGGGATCCATCTTCTTGGTTCTTTCGGTAAAGTCACGTAGAAGGGAAGTAATAAAATAATAAAAATAAAACATAATACAATAATATAATATAATAAAATAATATAATAAAATAATTATTTTATTTTATTATGTTTTATTTTTATTATTTTATTACTTCCCTTCTACGTGACTTTACCGAAAGAACCAAGAAGATACACGGGGGATCTTTATTTTTGCAGAGGATGTACGTCGTGGGTTCGATGAATCGGTGCTGCACGTTGCAACAGAGGCGATGGGCGCGTCAGTCCGGTGATTCAGTGCGAGCAAAGGCGATTGTTTGTTCGGGATTCGAGCTGCGTCGTTCCGAAAAGTGTTGCCCGGCATAGCGGGAGAGGGACCGAGAGAGCGAGAGAGACTTTTTGACTTTTAAACAAGTTTTATTGCCGCCAGCAGCAACAGCACTGGACGTGAACATGAGGGTGCCGTCCACGCTGGTACAGAGAGGGGCTTTTCCAGCTCCCCAGCGTTCGAGGAAGACGTGCACATCAGCAACATGTGTGGTACGCGTGCTCCAGCCAAAGCCGCGCCTTGAGCAGGCCTCTGAACACTGGAAGCCACAGAGCAGCCGTCAGTGTCACCTTGCAGCATCTTTTTCCTCGTTCTGTACACCGCCAACTTCGCCTGAGCACAGGTGAAGTTGGCGAGGTCATGGCGCTTGTTGGGACGCAGACTCCAAATATACAGAAGCAGGCATCGCCAGGGTTGGATTCGAACCCACGACCTCCTGCGTACCTGGCGAGGTAATCAACATCTCCTAGCCACCGCGGTGATGATGAGAAAGAGAGACGCACACTCCAAATATACAGAAGCAGGCATCAGGATTGGGTTCGAACCCACGACCTCCTGCGTACCTGGCGAGGTAGTCAACATCTCCTAGCCACCGCGGTGATGATGAGAGAGAGAGACGCAGACTCCAAATATACAGAAGCAGGCATCAGGGTTGGGTTCGAACCCACGACCTCCTGCGTACCTGGCGAGGTAGTCAACATCCTCTAGCCACCGCGGCGCTGTCGGCTGGGCGCCTCGATCCCTGCAGCCCTTGAGAGTCCCCGTGACACCGCGCGGGAAGGTAATTGGGCAGGTGAGCTGCAACTCTCGTCTCGTCCGATTATCGCTTAATTACCCGCAGCCACGATGCCACCCCGACTGAACATTGAGCGGCAATTAAATGAATTGCAGTGACAGCAGTAGGGGAAGGGGGGTGGAGGCGGCTATTAAGGTAAGTGTCCACGGGTAAGTTCGTAATCAAGAATCGTACCTGTGGGTAACTGCCCCCCCCCCCGCTACGCATGTGTACGAGACCATTTGCTGCATTCTCAAACGCACAGCTGTTGGTCGGAAGAGAGACGGGGAATGGCAGACAGAACCCGCGCCAACAATTAATTGTCCAAGCTCTGCCGACCTGTGTGTGTGTTGCAGCTGCAATTGAGGAACGATCTTGATTTGAAGCTTTCGTGACTACTCTTTGGTTCTTTCGGTAAAGTCACGTAGAGTAGAAAAATAAAATAAAAATAAATCACGACGTTTCGGGCGCCACAAAAGCTTTCCCACCTGATGACGGACCGCTTGTGTTGCGCCCGAAACGTCGTGATTTATTTTATTATTTTATTTTATACCTACGTGACTTTAGCGAAAGAACCAAAGAGAATTGAGGAACGGTTTTTCTTTAACTTACCGGTTCGCTTGGTTGGGGTGCAGCGGTGTCCGATTGATCGGAATCAGAATATTGTATTTATACTGCAGGAGGAATCCGATAAGCTATAAAGCTCTTCGTTTCCACAGATGTGCGGTCAGGCACGGGGTAAGAACGTTACAACAACGAACGGTAACACAAACACGATGGTAGTGCAACGTGCAAGAAAGGTAAAAATATCACCCGAACACAAACAAACACAACACCAAACCATCCCCACCCTACCAGGCAAAGCCCACCGAGGTGTTCACGAATTTCTCAGAAGCGACCGTGGCCACAAACGACAGCTCAACAAAGTGGCCACCATCATGTGGGCAATTCATAGCGACCCAAAATAAATCGAAATAATCTCAGCGCAACGACGACGACCGCGCACCCCGTCTCGCTCATGGCAGCCGTGAAGACGGACAGACAGGGCTTCACGTGTCAACACGGATTCAACAACAACAGCAACAGCAAAGTTCCAAGCGAACGTCCTCTCAACACGAGCCCCAAATCCATCCGAACAACCCGCCACACCCAACAGGGCGTCCCCGTGGTCCACGTTGCCCACGCACGTGAGCCCCGAGCCAAATGTCCGGGGCGAAAACGGAAAGTTCGCGCAGCAACGTCCTTGGCGGTGGGCGGCTGCCGAGGGAGCCCGCGTCGTGCTCGGACCGCGCCGGCGGGCCGCGTGCGCCGTGGGGGTTCGGGGTGGCGGCACGGGGACCATCGCCCCACACGTACACTGAGCGCATTGGCTAAAGCGTCGTTAACATCATCATCATCGTCATCATCATCAGTTGGACACGTAGGAGGCTTTCGCGAGCAATATCATCCATAATACAGTAATCCCTCGCCACTTCGCGGTTCAAGTTTCGCGGCCTCAGTGCATCGCGGATTTTTCGAACTGATTTAAAGGCCTCATTATACCAGTGCAGTAACACCATCATCATCATCATCATTCATCATCACATTCATCGAACTGCACAGGTCTGTCATCGTCGTCATTGTCATCGTCATTGTCATCGTTGTCGTCATTACTGGAGTCAAGTCTCAAGATACTACTGTCATTGGTGAGTGTAGAACACCATAATACGTATCGTATGAGAGAGAGAGAGTGAATGTATAATATTAAGGTTTTATAATTAAATAGATTTAAGTAAAATATATATATAAAGTATAAATATACATATTTTAAACATTCTGGTACCCACACACACATATACGGAAATTCCTAGGGGGCCAATCCTACTTCGCGGATTTTCACCTATCGCGAGGGGTTCCGGTCCTCATTCACCGCGATAAACGAGGGATCACTGTATAGGTTTTTTTTGGGGTTGGATCGCGTAAATATATAAATGCTGTGTCGTTAAACCCGCCACCACCCGACACAGCAAACTCGTAAGGTCGTGTCACGTAAACAGAACGCGCCAATTCGTTACTAGTACAGCACTAGTGTATAGTAGTGTAGTGTGTAGTGTAGTGTGCAGTGTATAGTTTAGTATACTTGTACAGCAACACCGGTGTGACGAGCCATAGACTCGTCATACAGAGAGCCATAGACTCATTACACAGAGATCCATAGACTCATTACACAGAGACCCATAGACTCATCACATAGAGACCCATAGACCCATCACACAGAGACCCATAGATCACACAGAGACCCATAGACTCATCACACAGAGACCCATAGACTCATAACACAGAGAGCCATAAACTCACACAGAGACCCATAGACTCATCACACAGAGACCCATAGACTCATCACACAGATACTCATAGACTCATTACACAGAGAGCCATAGACTCATTACACAGAGACCCATAGACTCATCACATAGAGACCCATAGACCCATCACACAGAGACCCATAGATCACACAGAGACCCATAGACTCATCACACAGAGACCCATAGACTCATAACACAGAGAGCCATAAACTCACACAGAGACCCATAGACTCATCACACAGAGACCCATAGACTCATCACACATATACTCATAGACTCATCACACAGAGAGCCATAGACGCATCACACAGAGACCCATAGATCACACAGAGACCCATAGACTTATCACACAGAGACCCATAGACTCATCATACATGGACCCATAGACTCATCACACAGAGACCCATAGACGCATCATACAGAGAGCCATAGTTTGTTGTCCTCCGATTGGCACGGGTGGCTAAGTAGGTGCAAAATAAGTTCAACATACGGTAGGTATATACAACAACAACAACAATCACAATCCAGGTACACAAGAGTCAGATAGAGAAAGGCAAAAACAAGTCACTAAAATACTAAATGGGTACAAGATGAAGCATAGAAGTACAAATTGCACTGGTACAGCAGATTTGTCAACACCAAGTTCACGCTTAGGCAGGTAAACAACAACAACCCAAGAGCACAACAAGACCGTACCCTGTACTGTCCCTCAATTACATCACACACGTGTGCACACACACACGTGTACACACACACACGTGTACACACACACAACAACAACAACAACCGCCATTCGCCACTAAGTGGCGGTGACGTCACCACGATGCTTGTGCCAGGCCAAGTGCACCTTGAGGCCACGTGAAGTGTCGAACGCCCGCTGGCAGGAGGTCACGGGGCAGACCCAGCAGGTGCCACTGGTCGACTGACCGAGATGACCGAGATGACTGGCTGATGCACCACCTGTGCCCCCTACTGTGCCAACTTGCTGTGCTTTAGCCACCCGGCGCTCCGCTCGTTGTTGTGAGCGTCGCTCCTCCGCCCTCCGTTGTTGTTGGAGGGCGACTGCCTCCAACTGCCCAGTAGCGTCCTTCACGAGCCTCCTCCACTGAGGCCGATCTTGACACCGCTGGTACCAGTCATCGGCAAGTCCACTCAGCTCCACGTCCTCCTGTACCACATCACTCCATCTCTTCTCCAGCCCGTGCCGCGCCCGTCTAGCCCCCTCGATCCGGCCGAACAAAAGCTGTTTAGGCATGCGGTGGCTGGGCATGCGGGCTACATGACCCAGCCAACGCAGCCTTGCCTGCCGGAGGAGCTCACTGATGGGACTTTGCCCAGATCTTTCAAGGATTTGTGAGCTCCTCACACAATCCAGCCTGGTTAAACCCAGGATGGATCGTAGGCAGGCCAGCCTAAATGTTTCCAACCGGCGAAGATGCTCCACCAGGGGGGTCCACGTCTCGCAAGCGTAGAGAAGGGAGGGAATGACCGTGGCCGAGAAGACCTGAAGCTTCGTGCGGAGCGACAGACCAGGTAGCTTCCACACAGCGTTACGCAACCGATGAAAAGATATTGCCGCTCGACTGATTCGGAGTGAGACCTCTGCTGATAGACTGGAGCCGGTCATAAGCATACTGCCCAGGTATGGGAAACTCTCCACTCTCTCCACAACTGCCCCATCACCAATTGGGAGTTGTGGGGGTGGAGTGTCCGATGGTACAAAATACCCAGGCAGGTGCTTGGTTTTGGTGGGGCTGATGGTAAGGCCCCACCTCTTAGTGGCACGCTCCAGTCTCAGCAGCAGCGCCTCCAACTCCTCTTCTGAATGAGCAGCTATTACCAAATCATCGGCATACATAACGTGGTTGACCAATAGGGAGCCATCCCTTGATCGCACCCGGGCGTCGATCAGCCTCCCATTATACACACACACGTGTACACACACACACGTGTACACACACAAACGTGTACACACAGACACACACGTGTACACACACGTGTACACACAGACACGTGTACACACACACACACACGTGTACACACAGACACACACGTGTACACACACACACGTGTACACACACGTGTACACACACGTGTACACACACACACGTGTACTTAATTTAAATTGTCTCCGTAAAAGCAGACTCTGAATTGCTTCGCACGGCACGTCGGCCGTGTGTAGCAATCATCGGGCGCGTACAGCGTGGGACGAGTTCATTTGGACGGGAGGAGGGAGGGGGGCGGTAAATTGGTAAAGGCGGAAAGCCGGAGCGTGGTGGCGGTGTTGGATCGCAAGTGACCTGGAGTGCTGACATCGCGGACTAAGACGATCAAAGAAAACCCGGAGATTTAAAAAAAATATCTCTACCCGGCACACCAGATCCACTCGCTCATGGCCCACGACTATTAAACCCACGAGGTGCAGCAACCCGGGCACGCCACCACCCCCGCGTAACCCCGAGGATGAGGTCGTCGGAGAATAACGCCGGGACGGACCCTGCGCGCGGAGAGGAACCCTGGGACCATGCACAGCGGACCATCGTTTGGCGCTCGGTCCGCATTCGATGGCCGTGGATTTTGTTTGTTAATCTGAAAAAAATAACCCCACCCCCTCCCTCTCCCATCATCATTATCATCCCCTCCACGCGATGCATTGCGTTGTTTCTCCACTCTCTCTGTGTCTCTATGTCTCTCATTCTGCCCCTGCAGGGGTTGCAACGGACCTGGGCAGCGATGGCCGCTGTGATCTATCCAGAGCCTCTGTGGATTCCCTTCTGAAATAATAATAACGCATGGGGAATGGGGGAGATGTTCTGAGAAGAGGAGAGAGGAGGGGGGGGGGGTGCGGTGATGGTGGTGGCTTTTGGAGGGAGGAGCAGGAGGAGGGGGGGGGCTGATGAGAAGACGCGGTGGGTGGGTGGGTGGCTATAGGGGGTGGGGGACGGTGGGATTGTGAGAAGCAGCAGTGCCGTGATTATTCTGTCATTTTTTATTACAGCAGCACGCAGCAGCAGCAGCAGCACGCTGCAGCGATTTTACTGTGCGCCTGCTGCTGCTGCTGCCGCTGCCGCCGCCGCCTTTTTCCCCTAAATTATTTTTTGCTCCGCCATGCAGGCCCCCAATCTCTCCCCTGCCCCCCTCCTCCTCCTCTTGCACCGCCCACCATCACCACCACCATCACCACCATCATCACCACCATCACCACAATCATCACCATCACCGCCATTACCACCATCATCACCACCACCATCGTCACCATCACCACCATCACCACCTTCACCACCACCATCACCACCACCATTACCACCACCATCACCACCACCACCATCACCACCACCATCACCACCACCACCACCATCACCACCACCATCACCATCACCACCACCATCACCACCACCACCATCACCACCACCATCACCACCACCACCATCACCACCATCACCACCATCATCACCATCACCACCACCATCACCACCATCACCACCACCACCATCACCACCACCACCATCACCACCACCATCACCACCACCATCACCACCATCACCACCACCATCACCACCACCATCACCATCGTCGTCTTTCTTTTGGAACGTCGCTCGCTCTGTCCAATCTCGTGTGGGGTCCCCCCCTCCCCCCACCCCTCCCCCCACCCCTCCTCTCTCTTTAAACCCCCGCGCCTCTCCGTGCTGCCGTTGTTTATTTATTTATTTAGTATCCCTTCGCGTCCGCGTCTCTGCGCGCCGCTATCATCGTACCGACGAATTCGCCACCACAAGCACCCCCCACCAACCCCCCCACCAACCCCCCACCACCACCCCTACCACCACGAACCACCACCCCTACCACCCCCCCACCACCACCCCCACCAACCCCCCCACCACAAACCACCACCCCCACCAACCCCCCCACCACCACAAACCACCACCCCCACCACCCCCCACCGCCACCACCACAAACCACAACCCCCACCACCCCCCACCACCACCGCCACCACCACAAACCACCACCCTCACCAC